CATGTAAGTCTTAAACATGTTTCATACATTTATAGTTTATTGAACTATTATCATTTGAATAGTTGAAAGTTATACTTTTTCGAATCGAGTATCTCAATAGGAACTATGATTTTAGAGTTGAACGAAGAATCTTGGTTAGATCTTTTTATACCAAAAGTGCTATCTATTTCCCTTCGATTAGAACTTTTGGAACCAAAATCGGTTTTGCTCATTCTTAGTTTTAAAGAGAAATATCCAACATGTTCTGCAAAAATTGATCAATTCATTGATTTGTACACAAAATCAGAAATGCGAAATACAGCATTTTCATCTGAAGAATCAAAAATCAATGCACAAGTTATTATCGAGTTGAATTTACCAAGTTTGTGTGGAGTACTTTGTGCAAGACTTGTTCATTCGAAACAAGAAATTAACTTGAATATATTACAAGAAATTGTAACAGTGATGAAACATTTTGGAATTCAAGTATTGGAAGAATGCTTAAATGCCATTGTAGAAGATATGTTGGTATACCCTTTACGACAAAGGATTGAAGCATATACTCGACTGGCTGGTGGTGAAAGTGATGAGGCTAAACATTTTGCAAGCAAAATACTCTCAAGTATTATTCGAAAATTTGACAACACATCAGAAGATCCATCTGAAGAATGTGCCCAATTACTAACATTTTGTAGAAAGAATGACAAGATTACAGAGGAAATGAGTATTGCAAAAGTACTAGTTGAAAAGATTACCAAAGCAAAACATGGTCATTCTCTAGTACAAAAATTAATCAAGGAAAATGGAACTGAATGTTTTTGGACTGGATCAGGATTGAGATTAGTTTTGGAACATTGCTACAAACTTTTATACACTGCAGCTTCAAATGTAAATATACCAATTGACTTTGACCTTGGAGTTGACTCTACGAGTGAATGGGTTTTCAAACATGTTAAAATCAAGTGCAAATGTGATCATTGTAAAAGTGTAAAGAAATTCCTTAAATCTAATGACATGGAATTTTCTTTCAAGGAGAAGAAGGATGCCAGAACACATGTGGAAACCATTCTAAATGGCATTGACGATATTAAGAGAGAAACAATCAAACATGGCTCACCTCAAACTCTCAAATTAACCAAGATTCGTACAACTCTCGAAGCCAAGAAGGCAATTGTGACCTCAGCCGAAACTGTTCTCAAACAATACATTGAGTATGCCACCAAATCAGATCAGAAACCACAAGCAAGACCAGCCTCTGAATCTGTATCATCCTCAACTACTGATCCACCAACCAAGAAAGTCAAACAATAACACACTCATAAGTATTTATCCAACATGATTTATCCAAATCTTTCATAAAACGTGATTTTAGAGGGTTACCCTTCGGAGTACTTCCAATTAAGTGTGCCACTATTTGTTAAACAAAACTCTTTAAAAGTGAAAAAAAATGGAGAAAGTGCCACTCCAGCAAATATCAAAAAGAAAAGGTACGACCTTCAGATTCTTCCATGAAGCTAGTTGCAACTGCAGCAACGAGATAAATCAGCACCGGGCAGTGCTGTCATCATCATTGACAACAAGGAGTGGTTTGATCACACTGATGATTGTTGTTATAATAATGATGCTGGTTGTTGTGGAACATTCGGAAGCATCTCCCACAACAATAGCAGTTGCTGGTAGTGTGGGTAATACAGACGAGGCTTGGAATTTTCCACTGTATGGTACGGGTATATTTGTGGTGCCAAACAGTGATCCTTCATTATTGCCAACTTTTTATGTTTCTGATGGAAATTTGTGTGTTGTGAGACAGATCATTGGAAATCAAAGTCGAGTGGTGGCAGGAACAGGTGAATGTTTACCAAACGGTGCTGATTCAGTTCCTGGAACAGAATCTACCTTGTATGGACCTACGAATATGTATTATGATGCTACTACAGATTTTCTCTACATTTTGGATTCGTCATCTATTAGATTATTGGACATGAAGAGTGGAATAATTTCTAAAATGCTCATTACATTCAGTGGAACTAATTTAAACTCATTTTC